CAGAGAGCAAAACCAACCCCTGTATATGGCGTTTATTGACCTGACTAAGGCCTTTGACACTGTGAATCGTAATGCCCTGTGGACTGTCCTTCTGAAAATTGGCTGCCCAGATGAATTTCTGAACATCATTCATCTCCTCCATGATTATTTGACCGCAACAATTGCAGATAACCATGGCTCTCAAAGTGAACCATTCACAGCGGGATCAGGTGTTAAACAGGATTGTGTTATTGCCCCAACTCTATTTATTATTTCCATTGCCTTGATCCTACACGCACAACATCCCAAAAACCAAAGTGCTTCACCGACAAGAACAAAACAACCTCTATGTGCCGTCACAACTCCAACTCAATGGTGTAAGGTTGGAAAGTGTTGATCACTTCGCCTACCTTTCCACAAGGGCTGACATTGATGCCAAAATCCTGCACCGTCTGAGGTCTGCAAGTGCGCTTTCTCCTGCAGGGTGTTTGAGAACCAGGACATTTGCATGGAGAACAAAATGCTTGTTTACAAAGCAATTGTACTGCCAACCTCACTTTATTCTTGTGAAACAGAGACCACTTATAAATGCCATCTCCAATTCCTCGAAAGATTCCATCAACGGTGTCTGAAATTTTCTACACATCGCTTGGGAAGACAGGCAAACTGGGTCAGTGTACTGGGTGAAGCCAAGATCACCAATATCGAAGAAATGATTCTTCAAAATCAACTTTGTTGGACGGGTCATTTTGCCTGATTATCATCTTTCAAAGCAACTACTCTATTTCAAAATTTAATATGGAAAGCACCATGCTGGTGGTCAACAAAAGAGGTTTAAAAACTCCCTTAAGGCCAATCTAAAAAAAATGTAGTATAAACACAGACAATTGGGAAATACTGGCTGGGAGAACAGCTTTTACCAAAGGTGTAAAGGACATTGAAGGCACTTGAACTCAGGATGGAAGTGAGAAACGTGCTAAGAGGAAGGCATATTTGGCAAACCCTCACCCTGACCAACTCCCGCCTGGAAATCTAGGTCCTCACTATGGAAGGACATGCGGATCCAGACTTGGTCTCCACACTCACATACGGACTCACTGTTAAAACCATCTTCATGGAAGACAAATTTTACTCAGCTACAAGTGATCACCAAAGCAAGCAAATAGCCAAACAAAAAGTTATGCACAGAAAACCATGATAAGGGTATTTCATAACTTTTCACCATTTATGTTAGCATAGAAACTTTTGCTGCAATTGCAGCTCTGCAGTGGCATCCCATGGAGTAAACCAAATATTTTAATTCACCAGGTGTTTTAACGTGAAACCAAGATTGTTTCTAAAAATTGTGCTATATTCGTTTGTTGCTTCTGACTAAAAGTTTATTTAATCAGCTCCACAAATATTATGTTGGATTCAGGTCACGACTATTCAGCACAGCTTGTGGCATTATATTCTGCATTAGATTATCTTTCTAATGATATACTGTAGAGGTTCATTCTAACGGTATACTGTTCTTATGAGCCATCAGCCCTTAGAAATACAGCTTTTCCTAAAGTTTTCCACAATTTTGACCACTAGTGTAATGAGCATCACCTTCGTCATATGTCAAATGCATAAATATATTCATTACAGATATACAATACGGTTTTAAAGCAGACACACACACACACACACACACACACACACACACACACACAAACACACAACTTCCTTACAGAATGTCATCGAAGAGTTCAGTTGTAGGAGGTTCATTGAAGGCTATGGTTGAAGTTATATAGATTTGACACATAATGCCAGCAATAACAAGATCTCCAGACTGGAAATATTTGTGAAGAATAGGAAGAGGGTCACGGATGGAACATGGAGCAACAGAGGCCTTGCACTCATCTGCAGGAAGCAGCACTGACGCCAACATCATGGAAAGTACCATCCTGCACAGAGCATGGTAGGAGCAAGAGGAATTTTTTAGGCGACAATTCATCTCTTTGCACATTGTCATCTGAGTGATACTGAGCAGCAAAGTCTCACCGGGATGGTTACGAAAGCTAGATTTTTGCAGGAAATAGAATCAGTGATCAGTCTGACAGAGTTGCTCTGAACATCACAGGAGATATTAATAGTATCTCCCAGTCTTGATTCGTAGTTTTCATGCAGCTACTGGAACTCACCAGAGAGTCAATGGAATAATCGTGATTTCTTTGATAATTACAGGAGACTTAATCAGCTTCTCAGTGATTTAGGGTTGGGGAGCATGTTTATCACATCACAGCCAAAGTCTCATCTGGTCCCCTTAGTAGGGAGAGCAATAAGTTTATGGAGAGTCAAAATAAAAGAGAAAACTACTTAATAAGAAAATACATAGTAAAAGAATAACTGCTTTTCAGCTTTCCATTACACTAACTAACACCAAATGGACAGACCATAATTTTCAGTTGAGAGCCAGTGTGATATAATGGTTAGAGTGTTGGACTAGGACATGGGAGATCTGGGTTCAAATCCCCACTTAGCCATGAAGCTCACTGGGTGACCTTGGGAAGATCACAGCCTCTGAGCCTAACCTACCTCAGAGCATTGTTGTGAGGATGAAATGGGAGGAGGAGAACCATGGTATATAAATGTAATAAATAGATAAATATACAGTAATCAAGTTTCGATGATTTAGAAATCTGTGAATGCAGTGATTTAGAATCTTTCTCTATGAGCTTTAAAATGCTTAAAACACTACTATAACAATCAATTCTGACCAAGTTACAGTGGAACCTCTAGTTACGTAACATCCTCCTTGCGAACACTTCGGGTTACAAGCTCCGCTATCCCGGAAGAATGTGCCTCTGGTAGGGAATTTCCCCCAGGATGTGAGCGGAAGTCGCGTGCTGGCAGTGCATGCGCAGTGGGAGGCCCCATTAGCGAAAGCGTGCCTCAGGTTAAGAATGGTTTCTAGATAAGAACGGACGTCCGGAACAAATTAAATTAGTAACCAGAGGTGCCACTGTATGTCCAAAGGGGGGATGCTATAGTACTCTTCATATCATTAATATTCTTAATTCTACTTTCTTGTGCTAAAAATTGTAGGTTGTGACATATGTGGGCCATAGGTGACATGGGGGTGGGGCAGCATACCTCTCCATCATCCGAGATGACAGAGACGTCAGAGAACCCATTTTCCCCACATGAATGATCAGCTGGTCCTTGGGCCTGAAACTCAGCAAACATGGTGCTCTGCAAGCCCCTGCAATCAGCTGACCTTTGGGGCCTCACAGTGCTACATATGGAGCTATGCAAGGAACCCAAGAGCTGCTTGTTGGGGTTTCCATAGCTTCATGAACTATCAGAACAAGCCTGAACTATCAGAACATCATCAAACTTGTAAAGCGCTTTGCACGGGGTTTTGTAGGTTCTCCTGACAGCTGAAATGTTCTCCAGTCCAGCCACTCTGTATCTGTCCCAAATGGAGAAGATAAACTCAGAGAATCTGGGTCTCATTTGTAGGCAGATGAGGACCAGTGGGTAACAAATGTCATTCAATTGTTTTGAAGCCCCACTTGGAAATGTGGCAACTTCACATTGTGAAGCCAGATGGATGTATACATACGGTATTTTTCGTCCCATAGGACGCTCTGTCCCATAGGATGCACCTACTTTTTTGGGGGGGGGGAAATAAAGGAAAAATTTTGTTCCTTTATTTCCCCCCAAAACCAGGTCGGGGAACAGTGGGATGGTGGCGCTGCGCCTCCCCGCTGTCCCCCCAGGTTGTGGGGCTGGCCGATGTCTGCCCGGCACGAGGGGCGTTCTGCTTCAGGGCAACCCACGCGCCGGGCGGCAGGCTGCGGACACCTGCGCGAAGCACGGGGCGTCCTCCGGAGGGTGCCCCATGCTCCGCACTGCAGGCTGCCGCCCGCAAGCCTTGCGCACCCGAGGGGGAGTTCCCCCGGGCGCGCAATGCTTGCGGACACCTGCGCGAAGCACTGGGCGTCCTCCAAAGGGCGCCCCGTGCTCCGCGTGGCAGGCTGCTGCCCGCAAGCCTTGCGCTCCCAGGGGGAGTTCCCCCGGGCGTGCAAGGCTTGCGGACACCTGCGCGAAGCACGGGGCCTCCTCCGAAGGGCGCCCCGTGCTCCGCGCTGCAGACTGCCACCCGCAAGCCTTGCGCTCCCGGGGGAGTTCCCCCCGGGACGCAAGGCTTGCGGACACCTGCGTGAAGCACAGGGCGTCCTCCGGAGGGCGCCCCGTGCTCCACACTGCAGGCTGCCACCCGTAAGCTTTGCGCTCCCGGGGGGAGTTCCCCCGGGCGTGCAAGGCTTGTGGACACCTGCGCAAAACAGGGGATGTCCTTCGGAGGGCGCCCCGTGCTCCGCGCTGCAGGCTGCCGCCTGCAAGCCTTGTGCGCCCGGGGAAACTCCCCCTGGGTGCGCAAGGCTTGCGGGTAGCTTCGTGGAGCCTGGAGAGTGAGAGGCGTCGGTGCGCACCGACGCCTCTCACTCTCCAGGCTTCAGCGAAAGCCTGCATTCGCCGCATAGGATGCACACACATTTCCCCTTCATTTTTGGAGGGGAAAAAGTGCGTCCTATAGGGCGAAAAATACGGTACATGTGTATCCACAGGTGGATGATGACGGATTAAAAATGCAACCTCTTAATTGTCCATGATGTTCTGCCATGTTATACAGGCTTTTGTAGCTACATTCTGAGATCAGCAGCTTTTCTTGATTACATATAAATAAATACAATACAGCTTTTACCTAAATATATAAAGTATAGCCTTGGCAGAAGTTATGTGTTTCACACTGATGATGTCTCTCCTTACGAATGGAAGTTTAGTGTATTGACAGGATAACAAATTGACAGAAAAGCTTTATGGGGTTAAAATTGGTCTCAGCTTTATTGGTTACAGATGTAGGTTGGAGGCTATTTCTAGGAATGAAAAGGATAAGAGTTGAGAAATACAAGGAATAACTTTTTCTGCTTTTCATTCAATAAATGCCAGCAAACAATGCAAAAATTAAAAGCATCAACACAAGTTCATTCCTATTTGCTCCTCAGAATTAAGTGGTCTTTGCTGTTCAAGTCAGGCCTGAGAAGAATGATGTACAATTTGGGGGCAAAGATACAACCCAGCAAACCTGCGCTGGAGGCCAAGATGCAAAAGACCTCCACAGCCACCATCTGCTTTCCTTTGGTGCTCAGATAAGAGGGAACAAAGGACAGCCAAACGCTGCAGAACACCAACATGCTGAAGGTGATGAACTTGGCTTCGTTGAAACTGTCCGGCAACCTCTTGGCCAGGAAAGCCATAGTGAAGCTGACCATGGCCAGGAATCCCAGATGACCCAGGACAGAATAAAACATCACGACAGAACCTTCGTTGCATTCCACAATGATTTCCTCCACCAGAGAGTTCATGTCCACATCTGGGAATGGAGGAGCCGTACAGAGCCAAGCAGCACAAATGCTGGTTTGAACGGAGCAGCAAGCAAGAAGCACAGAGTTTGTGAGAGATTTCCCCACCCATTTCCTCATCCTGGATCCTGGTTTGGTGGCCATGAAAGCCAGAACCACCGTGAAGGTTTTGGACAAGACACAAGACACAGCAATGGAGAAGATGATGCCAAAAGCAGCTTGTCGTAAAGAGCAGCTCACTGGGTGAGGCTGGCCAATGAACAGCAAGGAGCAGAGGAAGCAGAACAACAGGGAAGTAAGCAGAGTGTAGGTGAGGTCCCGGTTGTTGGCTTTGACAATGGGAGTGTCCCCATTCCTAGAGAAGACGCCAAGTATCAAAGCTGTGAGCAGAGAAAAGACCAGGGCTAAGGAAGCTAAAATGAACCCTAAAGGTTCTGCGTAGGAAAGAAAATGTTGGCGTTTGGGGATGCATTGATCTCTGTCCTTGTTTGTAAATTGATCATCTTGGCATTGGAAACAATAATCCATATCTGGAAAAAATGAAAATGAAATGAGTGATATGAGTTCCAACAAATAAGACATTAATTAGTTGGAATAAGTATCAGAGATAAGTGGACATTAACAACAGTTTGTACAATCTCCTGCCATTATGCATAATCCCCAGTAGGCTTATGTTTTCATAGTCCTTAGGTGCATGGATTTTTCATCTACTCTGTCCTTCATCTGAAGATAGTGATCAGAAACATTGGCTTTGGTTGTGCCCTTAGCTAGAGTTGGTCAGAACACTTAGTGGTACAATGTTTAAAATAGTAATAGTAATCCTACCCGTTTGATTTGAAATCATCCCATATGGACATGAAGCACAATCATAGCAACAAAATGGCAATCCCTCCTTCTTTTTCCTGCTGTAGCCTGGCTGGCAGCGATCATTACACAAGGCAAGGGGCAGCACCTAGCCATAAAAAGAGAAAATATAGCTCTCTTGTGCCTTGTAAACAACACAATTTTAACCAAAAAGAGATCAGTTGGCTGATTAACATTATTCCAGAAAGGTGTGCTGTATAAATAAATAAACTATAATGTAAATATTGGGAGTGAATGAGAAGGGATATTGAATTTTAAAGATGGAGGATGGAGAGAGGACAGAGAAGACAACAGACTTTGAAACATAGGGAGTTAAAAAAGAAGGAAAAATAGGAAGCATATACATTATTAGGCTCAGAGAAGCACCACAAGACATTAAATCTTTCAAAACAAATGGGTAACTTAGCCTCCTCTTATCTTCTGAGATGTAAATCTCACTTGGGTCAGGATAATTTACTCCTACAATACCGCATTTTTAAAAATTCAATGGTCCCACCTGATTCAAAGATCTGTGCCATGTGATGGCTCCCTCATCCATGCTGAAGTCTACATTTTGTGAATCTTGTGGAACTATCTTTCCTACTTTCACTCGGGAGAAGGTTTGGTTTGGAAAAGTAACCCAGTTAATAATATCAAATCCACCTGCTAATTCCCCATTCTCATCAAAGGACACTAAGTCACCAGCACTGTTGTTGAAGGAGATACTCCTCAAGAACGAGTGCAGCTAGGCAGAAGAAAACAAAGGCAAAGTTTTAAAAAGGAGAGCTTTTATGGATTTTAGAAACAAGAAGTATCCATCAATATTTTTCACACTTTGGAAAGTAGTCAAAAACTGTGTAGTCTACAACATTTGGAGCACCTAAGGATTTCTAGTAAGTACAGCTGGCCTGCCACTTGCGTGAGGGTTCAGCTCTGGGGTCCATGTACAAAGACAAAATGGTGCCATGTCAGGAAGCCCTGGAACTGCCCCTCCTGCAAGGTGGGAGTGCAGGGAGAAGGGGGCAAAGAAATGGGGGCAGCTCATGGTGGGCTTTCCCTGATCTCCATTTCTTTGTTTACTTTTCCCCACCAACGTAAAGTGACCATAACTTGCAGTTCCAAAACAATCAATGAATATCACTGGGAGCGAGTTAAAAAACTGTCCAGGTAATTACATTTGAAAATAGCCCTCTATGTTCCTCTTTAGTGCAGAAACAAATGCAGGTTCTAGAAAAAAGTTGGTGTTGCTGGACAGAATGGGTGGGCAGTCATGGGCAGAAACAAACCTTAGTCTTTTCAAACAAATTCGTAATTTTTCATAATTCTCATTTCTCTTGCTCAACTTTGCAAAGGTTTATTCTGAATAGGAAATCTCACCTGCCAAGGTTGCAGTTTTGGAGTATCGAGCCCACCTATGTCTGCCATCATTCTGCGTTTTGACCTGGATGAGTGCATCTGATGTAAAGAATGTGCAATGGCATAAACTGCATTATAGATACTGTAACTTTGGCCAGTCATGGTCATCTCAAAAATATGCCCAGGAAGGCTCTCCAGACTCTCATGGCCAGTGCAGGTCTTTGTGTTTTCCTTGTGCCCACTGGAAGCAGAAAATAAACAGTTGAATGCCTGTTGCCAAAAAGCCTGGAGGAACCCATCTCCATTTGGAGAGTTGGGGTTCAGGGTCTGAAGGAAGTCTTTAAATCCCTGGACTTTTTCTGTGTGAATTGCAAAAGACAAGGCACCATCAAAGACTTGTATATCGTAATACCTTTGCATTGTTTCTGAAGTGAAAGCCCACTGGGCTGTAAAAATCCACACAGTATCTGTAGACTTCTCTGCAACATCTTCAGCTAATGAAAAGAAATATTGCATCCATTTCACAACTGTAATGGTCTGAGGTTCTGCGCACAGAACCAAAATGTTGACTTCTGAGGCCACCAGGAAAGAGGACTTGGCCCGAACACGTTCCAAGAAACTGAAATTATCTAGACCCTGAGATAAGGCTGGTAGTTTTTCATTGAAAGCCGTACAGACTCCATGCTGTGAAAGCATTGGCACTAAGGTTTGCATAAAGGTCTCTCCATTTTCATCATCGGATGCCACAATTCCTACCCATGTCCACTGGAAATGTAGAAGTAGCATGACAATCCCTGCATATTGATATTTCTCATTGGGCACCGTTCGGTAGAATGTCTGGAGCTGCAACTCTGGGCTTCTCACTGGAGCTAATACGCAGTAAGCAATCTGGAGGAAGAAATCAACCCCACAAGAATTGGAGAGTTAGAGCAAACGGTTTATAAGTAAAGGCATCAAGTTTTCCTATACTTTGCGGTGATGTGCACCACTAAAATAATTCAAGATCTGGACCTATACCTACTTGTTTTGTTACTTGGGAAGAAAGAAGTACACCTCAATGGAACTGTGGAGGGATTGTCAGTTCAGAAGCTCTTTTGTCCTTGGACATCATTGTCCAGGTTTGAAAAAGAAAATGTTCTTACCTCCTTTGCCCGGTCCTGGCACAAAGAGTCCTTGAGAAAGAGAACTTTGCAGAATGCTGCTTTTATTCTTAAAAAGTCTTCTCCAACCACAACCGACAGCTTTATAAATATCAAACGCAACCAGCTTTCTACCAACCCACACCACACACAATCAATGACCACTCTATATATACAGGCATATGTAGGTAAAAGGTTGCATGAGTCTTGCAGACTTTGCCAATTCATTGAATGCTGCTGACTCATACCGACTGGGTACCTTTTGTATTAAAGAAACAGCAGCCAATTTTAGGCCGTGACAATCATAGTATATTTCATGAGTGGGAAACCCGTGGTTCTCCAGAACTTCCTGGACTCCTTGACCATTGAGCAAAAGTGGTTGGGGCTAGTGGACAAAATCAGGACAAGCAACTCCCTTGTTTAGTTGGAACCATTCTGATGAGACACAACTAGGGATAGGAGAGGAATTGAGTTCAATGAACATCTTAATAATTAAAATTGATTCACAATTCCTGAAACAATTGGTGAGCCAAAATGCAGCTATCCTCTGACATTTTTACTTCTCTGAATTTTGCAATTGACTTCTCCAACCAAAAGCAAAGCTTTATATTAAAATGACACTGGTCGCAAAAGTGAATACATTAGTGAAAATGAAATCAAAAAATATATTACATTAGGAGAAATAGCTGGGAAATCTGTGGATTAGCCAGAACTGCTTAGCAGGACCAGGGTTTCTCTGACCTCTTGCAGCTGGCCTTGGGCAGCTTCCTGGGAGCAGGAGGAAGACTCCTGCTGCTGCATTTGCCCAATTCCAACCTCCCTGCTCCTTCCCAGTGACACATGGGAGACAAAGTCTGGCAAGCACCAAAGCCCCTCTCCTCCAACCACTAGTGCATAGCTCCCCCAGATGTTTTGTATCATTTATATATTTTCCTCTCACACTTCCTTTTTCAGAAAAATGAACCAAAGTAAAAGAAAGCATTGAGAATCCAGAAGATAATTATTGTACCCGAGGCAGAAGAGCTTGACAGCCCCCAATCTTACTATACCTGTGGAATCTTGTAGATGCTTAAGACAGTAGCAATGTGGAGAGAGATGTCAGAGTCAAGTCCCCCAATAAAAGCTACCTTACTTTTCTTCTTGTCACATTTGAAGTTGGGGACAATCCTTTCTGTGATGGACAGAAGTTTCAGGGTGTTCTGATAAGTCATCTTTGCATTTAAGTAGCTATCATAGATGTGAAACCCAAAGGTCATATTCCGTATGATATTAGGGTGCTCGTTTATTTCTTTGACAGCAAACACCAGGGAGAGAATATTCTGGTAGTACTTCAGTGTGTCACTAATAAAAGAGTTATACAGTGGTACCTCGGGTTACAGATGCTTCAGGTTACAGACTCCCCTACCCCAGAAATAGTACCTCAGGTTAAGAACTTTGCTTCAGGACGAGCGCAGCGGCAGGCCCCATTAGCCAATGTGGTCCTCAGGTTAAGAACAGTTAAAGGTTAAGAACGCACTTACAGAAAGAATGGACTTACAGAAAGAATTAAGTTCTTAACCCAAGGTACCACTTTACTACGTGTCAGAGGTATTCTCCTCCTCTCCCTCTTAAGCACATTGGTAACTTTCTGGCTCTCTCTGGCAAATCCCAAAAGATTAAATAAAACAAATAAGCTAACAAACAAACTATATATCCATTGTTTGTCTTGACAGTTGATAGTTGACCCCATGGACAATATTCAGTCAGCTTTAAGAATATTACATCTAAAAAGCATTTAATTTTGTGCAGAGCATTCATATACTGAAACACACATATGTAAATTAATCTCTGATCTGCAGGTGTACCACTGGTGCCTAAAATTATGGGTCTTCACAGGCGGCTAAAGCAAACCGCCATTCCTCCTATGTTAATTTTGTGAAGGGGGACCTGTTTGCCACATCCTTCTCTTAACTCCTTATTTCCTTTCAGCAGCCAACGGACACTCACTGGAAGAGAAGTTCCCAATGCAGAAATTCTGACTGGTGCCTCTCAGATAGTAAGTGTTTGGTGTAGGTGGGGGTAGAGACCAGAGCGCATCAGATGGAAAAAAATTCTATTCTTTCATAGTAACTGAGTTTCCCTCCTTCCCTCCTTCAAATAAAATAGTGGCTGTACAAAAAATACTGTAGCCAATGTTAGTCATACTCTTAGAAAGACCATTAGGATTAATAGATCAGACTACATTAGGTTTATTAATTTCAGTGGGTCTACTCTGCAAATAACTCAGTATCAATACTTTTTTTTTTACTTAATAGGGTTTACATTGTATAGCAGAGACTATAATCCAAATTCTATGTTATTCATATGTCACATTCATCTGTGACTGTCAGATTAAGTGATAGTGATTGTGAATATGAAGATAAAGCTTTGCTGCAAAGGAAAACAGATGTTAATGGTGTGAAAGGAAACACAGAGGGAGGATGAGGATGAAGTTGGGAGAAAGCGGTGAGAGCCATGGGATCAGGTGATGAGAAAGCAGAACGGGCATAAAACAGAAACCTCATGAAGCAGAATAAAGCAACAAAGAAGAAGATACCAAGATCACAATGTAAAAAGAAGAAAATATATGTTTAACATTCCTACTTGAAAAAAGTCACATGGAAACGTGTTCTGAGGGTACCACTGTATGTTTGGTGTAATTGTAGCATACATGAGCTCACCAAGGGTACGCTATGAAGGATAGAGTTTTTTCCTTACAGAAGTTCATCTATAAGCTTTGTGTTTGGGTGCTCTTGGAAATCCATTTCTTCAAATAAAAAGCCGAAATAGGTAACAATTCCTCCAATGACTAGGTCCCCTCTCTGATAATTCTGGTGTGGAAGCTGGAACGGCTCCGTCATGGTGCATCTAGCAGAGTGTTCCTTGCTCTCAGTTGGAGGCAACTGAAGCCACAGGAAGAGAAGAATCTGCAGCTGAAATGTTCCAACCATCTCATTGAATGACTCTCATTGAATGACTCTGGATTATTTTGATAAAGGGAAAAGGCCAATGATCTGATTCATGAAAACCTGCATCTTCAAAATTTCTCATGTGGGCTCTGAATGACACAGGATTTATTTTATATACACTTTCACAATCTGACATTGATTGTGTCCATGGCCTGATAAAATGTACAGAGTGTTTGGCAAGATGGATGATGAAACCCAGCAATTTGAGATAATTACTAGTTCAAAAGTTATTGCCTTAGAGCATTGAGCTCTGTGACTTCTAGTAAAATCAAAATAATGATGCATATTTGTCATTGAGTAGTTCTCTTGTAATTTCGAGTGCCCCAGGCAAGCAAGCAGTCCAGCTGCAAACTGATGCCATGAAGGGAGTTTCCTATTTTCCCAAAACTCTTCCTCAATCACATTTCCTCTAGCTGTACATGTGTCACCAATGAAGACATGATTTTCAGCATTTTAGACCCCAAAGATGCTACCTTGTACACCCATTAAGGGGTAGGAGAGGAAATAGTTAAAATAATACAAATTCCAGTTGCAGGTGTAATACAGAGTGTTACATTTTCTTACAAAAGCCAGAAATGGTTAGTGTTCTGCTGTGGCCATAGTATACCTTGATTTCAGTAAAGCTTGTGAAGAAACTGGGGAAATGTGGACTGAATGAGGGAACTGTTAGGTGGATTAGTAGCTGGCTGACTGACCGAACCCCTTTTGTTGCAGACAGGGTCATGTCCTGGCCAGTTGTGCTCAAAAGCATTGCCACAGCATCAGTAATCAATTCACCACTGCCATAATTGTGTCCTCACAATTTCTCCCAAAGGAGCTCTTTGGGGTTGCTCCAGATCTTTTTTATTGTTTACTTGTTAATTCTTGAATTATTTGTTTACTTGTTGATTCTTTAATTTCTAGGGACATGAGTATCCCAGATTTCTAATTACATACACGTAAATAAAACAGCAATAACAGACACCTAGAATTACGAGCATGATTCAGACTTCTGGATTATTTAAAACTGTCTTCTTATTAGCTGCTCCCTGCTGTTCAGCTCAGGCCTCAGTAAAATAATATAGCATTTGGGGATAAAGATGCAGCCCAGTAACCCACAACTGGAGGCCAAGATGGAGAAGATCTCCACAGCCACCATGTATTTGCCCTTGGTGCTCAAGTAGGTTGGAACAAAGGAGAGCCACACACTGCAAAAGACCAACATGCTGAAGGTGATGAATTTGGCTTCATTGAAACTGTCCGGCAACTTTCTAGCTAGGAAAGCCACCGTGAAGCTCACAATGGCCAGCCAACCCATGAATCCCAGGACACAATAAAACATGACGGTGGGACCTTCATTACATTCTAGTATTATTTCTTCAGTCATTGAGTGCATGTCGACATCTGGGAATGGGGGAGAAGTTGCCAGCCATATGCTACAGATTGTGGCTTGAATAAGGGAGCAGGAAAGCACAATTGGGGTGCCCAGTGGCTTCCCTAGCCACTTCCTCATTCGGGACCCTGGCTTGGTGGCCATGAAAGCTAGAACCACAATGGCAGTTTTGGCCAATATGCAAGAAATTGCCACTGAGAAGATCATGCCAAAAGCAGTTTGTCGAAGGAGGCAGGTCACTTCCTCAGGCTGGCCAATGAAGAGCAGAGCACAAAGGAAGGAGAGCAGGAGGAAAAGGAGGAGAATATAAGTAAGGTTGCGGTTGTTGGCTTTAACTATGGGAGTATCTCTGTGCTTTGTGAATATTTGAAGCACCAAAGCTGTGATGAAGGAAAAGAAGAGGGCAAACGTGGCCAAACTGATCCCCAACGGTTCTCCAAAAGACAAGAAAGTTTTGTCTTTGGGGAGGCACCCATTCTGTTCATTGTTTGCATATTGATCTCCAGGGCATTCTGAACAGTCGTCCATGTCTGAAAAAGAAAAAGAAATAAACATCTTATTTTTAAAAAAGTTATTCTGTCCCCAGATTGTCACAATGCACCTAAGAGATACCAGAATGTATATTTGCTACTTCCATACTTTTTTCCCACTAGAAAAAGGAGCTTCTGATGCACAGGTAAAATTAAAGCCTGTGATGCATTCCTTACCCTCCTTGTTTGAGATCTTCCCTTCTGGACACGGAAGGCAATCATAGCAGCAGAATGGCTTTCCTTCCTTCTTGTTCTTTCTATAACCTACATGACAATTCTCATTACACAGAGAAGTGGGTTGTGCCTGTTCATAAATGAAAGAAGGAAATCATTTGGGACTTATCTTCAAATAGTAAAAATGACAGTTGTGCAGATTGCTATAGGTTTTTTGTTTTATCTGAAGATGATCTTAAATCTTGCTCTAATTGCAGCATTGGAACTTCTATCATTACTCCAGTACCTTTGCCTTTATGAAAACCATATTGGTAAGTATTTGAACTTCTTCAGAGATCAGCATGCCAATATCTTATCAAATAAAGGGAAAAAGTGGTAAGGACCTAACAGAAGCAGAAGACATCAAGAAGAGGTGGCAAGAATACACAGAGGAATTATACCAGAAAGATATGAATGGCTCGTACACCCCAGGTAGTGTGGTTGCTGACCTTGAGCCAGACATCCTGGAGAGTGAAGTCAAATGGGCCTTAGAAAGCAGTGCAAATAATAAGGCCAGTGGAAGTGATGGTATTCCAGCTGAACTATTAAAATTTTAAAAGATGATGCTGTTAAGGTGCTACACTCAATATGCCAGCAAGTTTGGAAAACTCAGCAGTGGCCAGAGGATTGGATAAGATCAGTCTACACCCCAATCCCAAAGAAGGGCAGTGCCAAAGAATGCTCCAACTACCGCACAATTGCACTCATTTCACACGCTAGCAAGGTTATGCTTAAAATTCTACAAGGAAGGCTTAAGCAGTATGTGGACCGAGAACTCCCAGAAGTGCAAGCTGGATTTAGAAGAGGCAGAGGAACCAGAGACCAAATTGCAAACATGCACTGGATTATGGAGAAAGCTAGAGAGTTCCAGAAAGACATCTACTTCTGCTTCATTGACTATGCAAAAGCCTTTGACTGTGTCGACCACAGCAAACTATGGCAAGTTCTTAAAGAAATGGGAGTGCCTGATCATCTCATCTGTCTCCTTAGAAATCTCTATGTGGGACAAGAAGCTACAGTTAGAACTGGATATGGAACAACTGATTTGTTCAAAATTGGGAAAGGAGTACGATAAGGCTGTATATTGTCTCCCTGCTTATTTAACTTATATGCAGAATTCATCATGTGAAAGGCTGGGCTGGGTGAATCCCTAG